TTTTTTTTTTTTTTTTTTGGAACGATGCTCACATGGCAATGCCTCTTGAAAGGGTTAGTTTTGAAATGTTGTGCCAAAGTGTTTTACACAATAACTTGGTGCATGCCGTTTCATGCTGCTTGGATGTATGCTGAACTTCTACGTGTCATGTATCAGCTTGCTCTATTTTTCACTGTGACCTATTGAGGGCCTTTTTCTTTAGTGGACAGCAATCTCTCTCTGGTCAGCATGAGTTATGAGCTACATTTTCATTACAATATTTTTGTGGCAATTGTTGCAGTTTCTGCGAGGACAATGTATGTTTGTTTGTTTGTTTGTTTGTGTGTTTTTTTACTTACCTCTGAGAGCTCTATGTGAGCTCTTATTTCAGTGCACTCCCTCAAGACCGTCAGAATACTACAAGATTTACAAAACGACGTATTGTTTTCTTTATCTCCTAAATTTCATTTTTTATCATAAAGTTGTATAACAGAGACAAGTACATGTATGCTGCTGAGAACTTGCAGTGGTAATAATGGTTATGTCACTTACGTCTGATTACTGTGTGCAGGATCACTCTACATAGAACAGAAAAAAACAGCACATTAATTTACACTTTTATGTAGTAAGTTGGAAACAGGCATCGATTTAACAATGGCAATAACAAATCTTGGCAATTATTGCTCGAGGAATATGTTGTGCCTCTTTTATCATAAAGCAAAATTTTAAAAACAACAATTTAAATTGTAACAATGTTTATAGGGGGCCACAAGTTCATGAGTTTTTGAACTATAAATTGTCACCCTCTTTAAATAAAGTTTGATTGATTGATTGATTGATTGAACGTCAAAAAAGGTGATCTGCAGTATGCAAGGCGGTAGTTGTCAGCAGCAGCACAACAATTTTTTAAGTGGGTCATAACAATGCCACTTGGTACTTAATGCAGGGCTTGATATACTTCTTGATATACTTCTTGTCGTTTCTGTGAAAGTACTATATCCTAACTCTATGTTTCATAGTTTTAAAACTTGCCTTGCTCAGAGATATTGTTATCCCATTCTGTGGTCCCAGAGCAGAACTGAAAAAAAGGTCAAGGGTATGTGCTTTATTTTATTGAATATCTTCACTGACAGTAAGAGCCACATGACATTACATTAAGCTGCCCTCACCAAACTGTAAAGTTTAGACTTAAATGAAATCGAGAATTTAAACATATGAAGTCAATTCTGAACCCTTAAGTTTATATTGGGCATATGTATGAAACTTGTTTCCTTTGCAACGAAATTGAGCCTTTTACGTTTTCTGATCTGTTGCGGGGTGGTGGCCGTGTATTTTGTATCAGAACATCGTTTTAGTATTTTGCCAGTGAACCATTAGTTGGCGAGAAGAGCTTGGTAAATTCTAAGAGCAAAGAACTTGACAGGCCGGTTTTACAGAACAGAATGCATGAAACTGTTATCTCTGAGAGTGTTTTAATATGAACATAATAATTCCTCACCTTGCAGCCATCTGGTGGGATGGCTGCCAGTCCTGTAATAGTATATACATAAGCAAATACTGTTACAAATTTAATGAAATAGTACAGGTGGACCTCACTGATTAGAACTCTAAACCTTTTGCCTCGGTTTTGTCCTTCATTTTGTCCTTCTACAATTTTGGAAATAAATTAATCAGTCTGACTTTGCAGGCTTCCAATGCAGCAGCTGTATATCTTAGCAGCGGTCAGTGACATTATATAGAATTAGTAACATATTTTTTTTCATACCCATGAAAATTACATGTAGTCGTTAGTATTATGATATATATTCACATTCTTTTCGTATTTTTGTTTTTATGTTGAGCACTCAGTTTTATCTCGAAGGGCCAGTTGTAAGGAGAACCTTGTGATCGTCTTTCACAACAGTAAGGGAACATCCTCCAAAACGAGTTTTGCATGTGGATAATCCACGGATTGCTAGAGGTAATCAACATGCTTTGCAGGGGAGAAGGGATACAGCGAGAATACCTTGTATGGATAGGCCAAACAGTATGAACATTAAAACATACCATGTCCTCATCCGTGGACGTGTCCCTAAATGGGCAAAGACCAATTTCCTGAAAAGTAAGTCAGATAATGTATCAGGATTTGCTTGACTAACTTTTTCTTTTGAAAATTGTCATATGAAGCTAATTCTATCTCTCTCTTTAGTTTCGAAACTCTAATCAGTTTTCACTTATGCAAGCAGTCATTAAAATCTAGTACATTTAATACGTTTGCTTCGTCAGAATGATTTTCAATGGTACACAGGGAGCAACATTCAAACACTTTTGTAACCGATGGAAAATCCCTCCACAAATTCACCCTGATGCTGTGTCTTAACCACAATCAATCAATCGATCAATCAATCAATCAGTCAGTCAGTCAGTCAGTCAGTCAATCAATCAATCAATCAATCAAAAGGATCTAATGTGGAACCAACGATGAATTAAACGCGGTAAGGGGAGTTTAAAAAGAAGTCTTGTCCTTCGGTTTTGCATCTCAAATTCCTTTTCAGGTTAGCCATGAAACTTACCATTTTGGTTTCTTCATTGGCCATCGTTATCTGGAAACCATAAAACAGCAGAAGGTTTAGAAAGGTTATCATTGTCTTAGAGCAAGACAATTTGGCATTTTTAATGCCAAGACGGTTCTGGTAATTGCTTAGTTCCGTAGCCTGAAATTCGCAGCAGAAAAATTACACAACTACAAGAACGCGAGGGGAATTTAGGCCTTGCGAAGGCCTGCTTTCGTACATTCTGTTCTATGCGAGTAAAACTGACCGACAAAATCTTTGAATTACGCAAGTAGTACCTCCTTACGATAGAAGACTATTCAAGGTAACTTTAAATCATACTCAAACGGTTCGACTTGTGTATATGTATGTATGATCATTTACTCCAGCGGGGATGTTTACGAAGGCGTGTTTGAAACTTACAAATTGTTGGCTGAGATACGCAAATACCTTTCCAGAATTAAGATATACTGTTTTAAGAAGTGGAACTGGAGCTTACCCGTCGTCATCGTGAACGTAATTTCACTTGTCTTGAGATGTGGAACCAGAGCTTTTCACTTGTGTTGACGTTTAGCTCAGTTTAGACCACGCTTGGACACGTGCGCCGGCGCATGTCAGCAGTGGGTGGTTTGCTGACCAGATAAACACAAGGAGGCGGACTCGTAACCTGTGCATTATTCTAACGACGAGGAGTAACGAAGGCTGAGATTCCTTTCGTGCTGAGCAGTGCGAAGTTGGATGCTAAAAAGATGGGAAATGTTCATTTCTTTTGATGACTGTTGGCCTCTGTGCTTGAGACCTTCATCGACCGGATGCCGCCTATCAGTGATGACTGGATGTAATTGGACTCACTGCCTTATTATGATCTTCATTATACAATGGAAGAACATTTAGATTAACACCATTCTTTGAGTTGTAGGTTTGGCTGTCTGTCCATGGCTCACTGATTGCACCTGCCGTGTCTAAAAGAGAAAGATTGTTCCAAGTAGCAAATTGCAACTTATTTTAAATGTTGATGAGTAATTTGAGACGTTTCTGTGAAAACTATTTTCTTCTCCTTTTGAGCCGACTTATTGTACCGTGAACAAGACCAAAAATTATAATCGCAGCGAATGAAAAGAAGTCAAACTTGATTCAGGTAGAGAATCGTAGTCAGGAACTGATGAGGCTGTTAAAAACATCTGTGTGGAACGAAATAGATTCAAAGTAGTATAAAGGCGTCCCGGTGTGCCGACGACGTCAGCAATCCAAATGTTCTGTCGGTCTCAAGGCGAAATTTATATATTCCGTGATATGCTCTAAATCGCAAGGAAGCGAGGTGAACAAAGCTTTTTTCCCGACCAGACCTTACCTTCATGTTGCTTAGTACTATTTAACGTTCAGTGTTTTGTTTTTCAGTTCTTTTCTTTCCCAGGAAACAGAATATCGATCCGGTTGTCTCCGTTGTTCATGTTATCGCATTCGTTCAAATAAAATAAGAGGAAAAAAAATTCAGCAGACCTTGACTTTTTGCATAAACAGACCAAACGATGCTGACATTTCTTGTTTATGCGATTGGCTAAGGTTCAGTTACCATAGAAATTAATGCTTGTTGTGGTTTAATTTGTTTCCACGAAACGTTTTGAATTCACTTTCTAAGAAACCAAGTTCTATCGGTTTTGGTTTTATTTCTAAGCCTTCTGAATTTTTCAACTTGTAGACTGATATACATGAGTACAATGCACAGGTCTGTTGGATACAAATTAGTTATCTGTGGATCACGCAACAGAGGCAGTCGAAATTATTCTGGTTTGTGCTATTGTGCAGATATTATGTGGCTTGTATTTGTTGGTGAAATAACACGCGCTCTGATTGGCTAATTCAAGGATATTATTCTCCTGTAATGCCCCCGGGCTGATTGCGGGTCCTGTAAAACCAAAGCAAAAGCCATATATTAAACAAATTATTAACCTGGAACGTTCCAAACCTCGGCCTTGCTCTACATTCCTCCTATTCTATAGCATTACCAAATGTTAGGAAATAGCCCAAAGAAAATACCCGCGCTGATTGTTTTAGAATCGTGTTTCTATAACTCGAAAGAAACAGATCCAGCGTGAGCTGATGACGTAATGATGGCACGAGCAAAGGGAATTTACATTTTGATGATCAAAGTAAACAAGTTTTTCTGTTATTTTCGTCGCGTTATTTTCTAAAGGAAATAGAAAACATGTTATTCATGTTTCCATCGAGCTTTTTTTACGATAACTACAGAAATTCTCTCGCGCTCATTGGCTAATTTTCATCATCATTAAGCGCACAGACACATGAATTTATAATTTATGCGATGCCTCAACAAGCGAGAGCGGACAATTTGACAAATTGGTATCGTAAAAAGACAAATTGGTGTCAGTTTTTTATGCGTCTGTCCTGTTATTGACGATGAATTTCGTCATAACATTGTGAAAGTAGTCTGCGGATCCACTCGGCTATCCTGTGAGCTACTTTGATAATGTTATGACGAAATTCATTGTTAATAACAGGACGGACGCATGAAAAACTGAGGTCAATTTGTTAAATAGAAACACTCGTGAAACGGCTCGTGTTCCAAGAGTATTTCTCGTTCTCCCAAACTTTCACTCGTGTTTCTATTTAGTAGATTGTAAGCTCGATTGTAAGCTATCGCGTGATAGTTGACTCGGGCTGTGCCCTCGTCAACTATCACGTATAGAAATCGAGGGCGAATAATAAAAATTTACTAGTCGTTCAAAACTTTATCTAAATCCTCGTCACAGACAGCTCGAAAACACAAAGAAGTGGCCGTCACTTTGTTAACAAACGCACACTGCTACTCTATTCACTATCTATAACGAAATAGATAGTGAATAGCGTAGCCAATCAGAGAATGGCATTCATGATAGAAGGCCAGTGCTAAAAGTCGATAGAAACACAGAGAACCTTCGTAAAAAATACTTTTTGTTAAGCCAAGGGAAATAAAACTCGTTGTAGTCGTATTGACCTCGCTATCGCTCGGTCAATACGTGAAGGTCTCGGTTTCAGGTTCATAGTTACCTGTAGAGATCTCACTCGCTGTTAATAAGTAGTTTAAAATAGTCTCTCTTTCACAGACTAGACATTTACTTGTCGACACCTATCATCGAGAACTAAATGTTATCGACAACTAATCATGCCCGATGCGAGTATTCCACACACTGGGGTGTAAGTTGTCAATAGCTAAGTCATGCCAGTGAGAGATTGGGAACTAACGTTCACTACGCATGCTTAAAACACTACGCATGCTCAAATGTGTCCTGTTTCGAGAGTTGTCGACATCTAAAGCAATGATTCCCACATACAGGAAAATGATCAAAACGAAGTTTTTGACGACTATTAATTGTCGACAACTAAAGCAGTTTCCCTTTGCGAAAAGGGTGGTGGGGAACATTGAATGAAGGGGTAGCACGAAAACACGCGAAGAGTTTGAGATCTTAGCAAATCTCTTCATTAATACTGGTAGGGGGCTTGGAAGAGGCAGCCGTATTGGTCGTTGATATGGGAAGCAGCATTAGTATTCTGGCAGATCTTGCTTTACAATAGTTCCGTCTTACGAAAATATGTACAAATAGCGATACAAGATGGACGTTTATTCACATCGTAGTCCGTGTAAGGATTTATGCGACAAATCTGGCCCAGTATTTATCAAGGAAGGTGTAAGATAATCCAGCATCAGTGTCAACTTTGAAGTTAGTAGTTCTTTCTCTCTCTCTCTCCCTCTCCCTCTCCCCCCTCCGCCCGCCTCCCCCGCATTTCTTCATCTCTTTTTCTCTCTTCATTTTGTTCTGTAGTTTAGTTCGGAACGTAGTGACCCTAACAATGTGAACAATTGTGACTACCATTGTTGTTCTAACCAGTCCTACATGCACTTATTTTTTATTTTTGATCGATTTACATAATGAAGTTTGTATTTGGAAGTGTACACCGTGTTTGGTGTCCCTAATGTTTCAGGTAGTAGTCCGTCAGAGAATAATAAATACTTTAAAGTTCTCAAGCTGGATCTTTCACGGCCCGTTAGAGAAGACTTAGACATAGACATAGTGTATTTTGCGTGGTCGCACACTTAGTTATGGTAGAGGTGCGTCCCATAGACTTATTAAGCAGTCTACAGTATGCACCGGTCATTTTGCAGGTGCGCCCTGAAAACAAAACAACAAGGTAAACATGTTCATTTAGAAGTGAATATGAAACTTGACTAACTAAGGTGGCGTAATTACCTTTAAATGATCAGCTCTCTCAGTTGGGGTGTTTCGCGATGTCCTCATGGGATTTTTACGCCTGCAGGTGTCTGAGAAAAAAGATTACATGAAATGAGACAGGAGGAAAGGTCAGTTTGACACAAGTGGCAGAAAACTTTGTGGATTAACAGGTAAGAACTTGATCAATAAAGCGGTTTTCAATCAAATACTGAATATAATATGGAATAGGCCATTTCCGAGTTTCCTTGCCTCTGTTTCAAAACGAGTCTTTGTGGAAAACCTTTTTATGAGCATGAGTTTGATTTGCATTGAAATGAACCTGTAGGCAGGAGCTCATTTTCACATGAATGGTCTCGTACGTAGACTCGTTTTGACACAGGCAAAAGGTGACTCAGAAGTGGCCTTTTTTGGTTGGCTTCACCAAACTCTATCACTACCTTAAAAACACTGTGGTCACCTATTTAAAGGGACACTGTCACCATTTTTAGCATAGTTTTGGAAATTTCAATAACATATTTTTACAATAACTGTCTAATTTCTCGCGCGCTGATTGGCTCATTAATATCATCAATAAGAGTACAGACGGATAAAATTTTAATTTATGCAAGCTTTCAAGTTTAAATTTCAGCTGTCACACTGTCAACTTTTAACCAATGCGATTTTATGGACTTTTTTAAGTAGCCAATCAAAAAGCGAAAAAAGTTATTAACAATGTTGGCGTCATTTTGAATAAAATTCACTTATCTTTGTTTACGACAAGTTTACGCGTCTTTTCCCCTCATTTTTTCCCGGAATTTGACCATTTTGGGGTCTTGTTATTGTAAAAAACGAATTGACATCAGTTTTTTATGCGTCTGTTCTCGTATTGATGATAAATTTCGTCATAACATTGTCAAAGTTTACTGGGGAACCACTCGCCTGCGGTTCGTGGTTTCACAATCATTTTGACAATGTTATGCTGCAATTTATCACCAATAAGAGGACAGACGCATAAAAAACTGACGTCAATTTCTGAAATCGAACATTGAAAGCTGAACAATATTGGTTTTATTTTGGAGAGCAGTACCCGACAAATGATTAAAACCTATTAAGAAGTGAGGATGGCTAACGATGACGAGGGTGGAAACGGATTGCGATATGGATTTTTGAAAAAGCGTCAGGCTGTCAGTTTTTCAAAAGTTCAAGTTTGGCTCGGAAATCGTGGAAATTTTGCAAAAATGATGCTGCAGTGTGACGTTCTTCAAGAAATAGTTAGAGCTAATTAAGTTCTTATTCCATAAATTTAGGGACCATTTCGTGAATTTATAACAGTTTTAAGCAAATATATCGTGACAGTGTCCCTTTAACCTATCAGACGCAGAACCAAAGCCACTGGTAAACGACTAGGTTAATTTTCCCGCGCCGAACGACAGTTGCGTGGTCATATTTCGTTCTTGTTTGCATTTATAGCCCCTTGTGCTTCTAACGTTCGCTTTGCTCTTGAAGTGAGGTGATAATTTTACGACATTCGATTGAAAACCTGCTGTCTAACCACCGCAATTTTTACTTTTTATGTCAGAAACTGATAGTTCAGTCACAAGGAGCATCAGCTCGGAAGCGTGGCTGGGTTTCTCTGGCAAGCAACCGAACGGTGAACAATCTGGGACACTGGAATACAAGTGTTGGAAAGGGAACTGATCAATATTTACAGGCGTATTGTTTACTTTTTCTGACAGTCGGGGCAAACTAAAACTATTCAATCATTGACTTTAGGATTTAAATCCATTGAAATGACTGGAGTTTAGTATTTGATGTTTATTGCGGGCTTATGCATAAGGCGCGCAAAGTCTGGGCAAATCTTGTGGATATGTATGTATGCATACAGGATGACAAGCGGT